CGTGAAAGGGGGGCTCTGTGGGTGCTGAGACCACAGAAAGGGGGTCTTTGGGCAAGGGGGGACTCGGGGCGGGGGGTTGGGGCAGGTCAAGGAGGGCCACAATCAGTGGGGGACCCCGAGACCCTCCCAGCAAGGAGGACCCTGAGCAAAGGGAGGTCCCTCTGGGAGGGTGGAGCACCCCAAGAGGGTCCTGTGGGGGACCTCGACATGGTGGAGGGGCTGGAGATCCCACAGGGGTGGGATATGGACACTCCACAGGGGATACGATGGATGGAATAGGGACACTCCACGTGGGATATGGACACCAGGGATGGGATATGGACACTGAGGATGGGATATGGACATCATGGATGGAATATGGACACCCCACATGGGATATGGACACGGGGGATGGGATATGGACATCACGGATGGGATATGGACATCATGGATGGGATATGGATACCCCATATGGGATATGGACACCAGGGATGGGATATGGACACTGAGGATGAGATATGGACACCAGGGCTGGAATCTGACGGGATCTGGATGCTGGGGATGGGATACAGACCCCAGGGATGTACCACAGACTCCAGCCCTGGGACTGTGCCTTAGTTTCCCTCCCGTCCCTCCCCTGGGCAGACCAGCTGTAAAACGGGGGGTCAGAGTTTCCCCCCCTCTTTCTCAGCCTGAAAACACGTTTATTTTTGCCCAAACTGAGCCAAATTCCGCTGTTGGACCCCAGCCCTTTCCCAGAACCTCCCCGGCAGCCACCGGAGGGGAGAAGCAAACCAGGAATTAGGGGGTGGTGACGTCCCTTTGCCCCCTTCCCCCCCCCGTTTCCTCCCCACTCTGGGGGTGTTTCAGGGCGGGGACGTTTCGCTCCTGGAGCCGCAGCCTCACCCCAACCCTCTGCTGTGCCCAGCCATGGCTCCCCCAGCCCAGCCATGTTCCCCCCCTATTATCCTCATCCCAGCCTTGTCCCCCTCCCTGCTGCCCCTGTACCCCTTAATGTCCCCCCCAAGAGACATAACCCCTCCCTGTGTCCCCCCTAAGCCATGTCCCCTCCCAGCCATGTCCCCCCCAGCCATGTCCCCCTATGACCCCCCTCCATCTCCCCCTAGAGCCACGTAA